CAGAAACATAGATGAACATGTTTGCATCTTTCTACAATGTAGAATTTATTGAATAACAAAGTCACAGAGCACAGTGGTACTTTGGCAGCAATTTGCCAGAGTCCTGCTTGATGGGCCTGACTAAGGAAAACATAGGCTCTTTTATTCCAGTTTTACTTACTAATATTAACCCAGATTACACATCAAATCTATCCACGTATTTGTATATGTAGATTACAGAGATCCCAGCAGAAATCAAGGAGGTAAACGAGGTCTGAGAAGTAGCAGCTGGGAAGCTGACCTGGATGCAAAGGGAGTTGGGGTGGGGGCAGGGGATGGATAATGAGCCCAGGCTAGAGGTCTGATGGAGATACTGCTGCAGAGGCAGGTTGTGGAATCAGAGTTGAGCTGAACCTCAGAGTTGATTCATGCTGCAGAAGCAAGGTGTAAGACCAGTCCAGATAGGTGGAAAGACGGACAACAGGTCCAGATGGACAAACGGGCAAACAGACAGCAAATTCAAGTAGGCTGTGTCAACAGCAAGGACTGAGCCAAGCCAAACCCCCTAGAACACACACACACACACACACACACACACACACACACACACACACACAGTGGTCAGATGACTAGGTGTCCTCCTCTTTCTAGGGTCCAGATGTGGGTGTTGCACCCTTTCCTCCCTCTGGTGTGTCCAATAAGCTCTCAGGTATGTTTTTTCTGGTATGATCATAATATGCCCATGGGCTTACATGGTCCCAATTTAGTTTGATAAATTTATAGGGCAGCACCCTTCCTACTTTTAGGAATAAGTTATTCCTAAACTTAGTCTGCGTTTCATGGACAGTGTTATGGGGCCACCAAAGTGCAGAAGTATTTGAACTCAAAACGGAGTCAAAAACTGCTTGTAAAATGGAATTTCTAGGGGAAAGGCACAACCTGAAAAATTGCCATTTTACACAATATGGAGTGACTTGGGACAAGGCACAGCCTGTTCTCAAAACCTGTGTGAAAGGATTTCCAAGGACTTCCAAGAGTCCAAATAGTCTTAGAAGACAGCCCATGATCTGAAGCCCCCTCCCCCCTCCCCCCTTCACTCTTTCTTGGCCTCCATCTTAAAGGGCAGACTCAGGCCAGCAGTATGGCTCAGCAACCTGAGTTTGATCCCCAGGATCCACATGGTGGAAGGAGAGAACAGATTCCTCCAAGTTGTCCCCCAACCACACGCAGGCTGTGGCATGTGACAGCACATTTGTGTGCACACACAAAATTAATATATAAATGTAATTTTAAAATACATAAAGTAAGTCGGGCATGGTGGCACATGCCTTTAATCCCACCACTTGGGAGGCAGAGGCAGGCAGATCTCTGTGAGTTCAAGACCAGCCTGGTCTACATAGTGAATTCCAGGACAGCTGGGGTTACAGGGAGACCCTGTCTCAAAAAGATCGCCACCCCCTCAAAAAAAACAAAAAAACACATAAAATAAGCCAGGCGTGGTGGCGCACGCCTGTAGTCCCAGCACTTTGGAGGCAGAGGCAGGCAGATCTCTGTGAGTTCAAGGCCAGCCTGGTCTACGTAGTGAGTTCCAGGACAGCTGGGGCTACAGGGAGACCCTCCTTCAAAAAGACCAAAAAAAAACCCCCACCAAATCATAAAATAGAAAAGGGAGGACCCACCTCCAGGGAAGCATGTCCCCTCTGTTTATCCTCTACCTATTTGGATCCAGATCCTACCCCACCTTCTTGGGACCAGTGGGGTGAGGGAACCCCAGTTTGCCTGTGGGCACTATACTCTTCCAGTGCTGGCTTGGGGATATCCCCTTTGACTGGGCAGCCCTGAGGTCTCCCTGTCCCCTTCAGCACCACCCTGTATTGTGGCTCAGGTTCTCAGTAGTAGACACCTGTGACCTGTGAGGACCAGAGATCTCACCCTCACACTTCCTCATCTGGTGGCCTGTTACAAGAAAATCAAGTCTTAGACCCAGTATTACCCACTTCAAATTTCTCCTAGCACAAAACACAGAGCAGGCATCCCACCACAACTCTGAGCTAATTGGAGGGGGTGGGGGTAGGGGAGCTCCTATCATGGTTTTTTGCAGGAAAACATGTCAGGGCAATTCTAGGTCACATTGACCAAGAGCTAACCATGCTGTCAGAGCATGACAAGGAGACCCAGGGTCTAATACAGAAAGTTCTAGGCCCAGGGTACTACTTCAGTGAGCCAGTCTGGCACAGGCAGAGGAGTCTTAAGCAACATTCTTCCCACTAACAAACGACTTCTGACCCTCCAGTGCTAATTCACTGGCCCCAGCTATGAGTGTAGACAGCTGAATTTGAAGCCCTGGCAGTGGCCACCCGGAGTGTAACACTAACTAAAATGAATTCATATGCTCTTCAACATCTCACGATTGAACTTAAGTGATTGCAGCTGGCACCCTTGCTGCCCTTCAGCAACCACCAGCTCCAAGCACTAGTGTGTGCCCACGGTATCCTCTCTTCCAAGGGCCCAGGCTCCTCACTTTCAGCTCTCTGGTTCTTTCTGACCCAAGGCAGCCCCCACCTCATCCTGCTATGCACTGACCCAGCATGACCTTTGGTGAGTGAGGGTCTCCTCACACCTCAGAGCCTGCCTGGGCATAAATGTACTCCCATCTTCCAGCTCACTGAGCCCCCCTCCCAGGCCAGCAAGCTGATGGTACAGAGTGGTCTTGTGGCTTAAGGATCTAATTCTCTCCCCCATCCCCCACTTCCTGTAACTTCTATCCACCCTCCATTCTGCCTGGGGTGGGGTATGACAGCAGCAGAGTCCACCTGCAGACTGGCCTTGCACAGAGCCCTCAGGGCTGGACAGATGGAAGGAACCAAGCTGTGATGGGATCAAGTGGCTCACGGAGAGCACTGTGGGATGACAGTGGTAACTGACCAGCACCTGGTCAGGCTCCCTCGACCACTCAACAGGACTCAGGCACTTAATGGTCATTCATTCCCCATTCTGAATTTGTGCTAGGCACAGGCCAAATGATTCCACAACAAACTGTCTTTTTTTTTTCTGGTCTTTTTGAGACAGGGTCTTCCTGCAGCTCCAGCTGGCCTGGAACTCGATATGTAGACCAGGCTGGCCTTGAATTCACAGAGATCTGGCTGACTCTGCCTTCCAAGTGCTGGGATTAAAGGTGTGTCCCACCATACCTGGCTGAAAAACTGTCTTGATTGGCTAGATTCCACTAGAAAACACCAGGCTGACCTTTGACAGCTCCCCTGGTGACTGCTTCTTCTGCCTTGTGGCCCAGGGGCATCCAGGGGTAAGCCAAAGGCTAGTGATAGTAAAAGCAGTCTGCCTGTCATGAGGCTCAGTGTGTAGGGGACACTGATACTCGTGCTTCCTGTGCGTGGACACATAACTCTGCACTAACAGGAAATTGAGGTCTCAAGGGGATAAGCCACCTGCCCTAGTTGCAGCCAGAAATGTAGAGTACTGACCCAATGCCCAACCCTCAGGCACTCAAATCTAAATTCACAAGTTCTTCCCAGAAACACCTGTGTTCACCTTTGCCTGGCACCTGAAGAAAGATCAACACCGGGGTGAAAGGTCCTGGTAAGGCCAAGTAAGCCACAGCAGGACATCTTGTGGAGAGCTGGGAGAGAGCCTGAGTACTTCCTCAAGGCAACACCCAGCAAAAGGAGAAAACCCAAAAGCTTGTGTGGGACTGAAATGGCTTGAAGGGGAAGGCAGCCAGGCAGTGTGACTTAGGCTGCAAGCCATGCTATCTTAGATACTTCAGGAGGGTGTTGTTCCAGGGATTCCCCTCTGAAATTCTAACTAGAAGGCCCTTCATCTTCCCTGAATGGATCTTACAACATTCCAGAAAATTCCTTTGTACATTTAATCACACCCAGCCTCATAGACTTGGGACTCACTAGGACTTCCTAGTCTCTCTGTGTGATCTCCGGACAGGAGAACAACTCCCTGTCCCTGCATTCCCTGAAAGAAGGGCCTGAGGACTGGCAAGCCTCCTGGGTTTGCTTGCTAAGGATGGTACCTCACCCACAGGGCTTTGCTTGCTAAGGGTACCTCACCACAGGGCTTTCCTGGTAAAAGAGAAAAGGTGATAATAGTACATTCTAGAACTAAGTGAGCCTGGGGGCCGATAACCAGGCTTGACAGATAGGAAGCTGTGGATGAATGTTGGTAAAACAGGATGTTGGTAAAACAGGAAAGGTGAGATAGTACATTCTAGAACCAAGTGAGCCACTTATACCTGGGGCCTAGAACCAGGCTTGACAGATAAGAAGCTGTGGATGAATGTTGGCTGTTAGCAGTGGACTGTTAAAAGCTTTAAAAGCTTCCATTCCAAGTCTGTGGGTATTTTTGAAGTCCTACTGTGTGCTCAGCATTGGGACTCCAACAATGGGGCTCAGACATCAGGATGACACAGAAGCAGCAGGGGCTTACCTGGATGAGACATCATGCAGAGCCTGGGCCAAGATGCCCCCTCCCTCCCTGTACTGTGTTGTGTGCAGGCACAAGAGAAGCTGGGCCTTGTGTACACCCAGCAGGCTCATTAAGGCCTGGGAACAAAATAGGTTTTAAGTGTAAGATGTGTTGGTGGATATAAAGAAGTTTTTGCAGAGGCAAACAGGCCTTACATTGGAAAAAAAATAGAGGAGAAAGGGGGGGGCGCCCTCTGACAGAGGAAACCCAGCCTTCTCAAGGGACCTAGCTCGGCCCCAACCACTCTTCCTAGCAGGCCCAGCCCTAAGAAGGGAGCCTGGCAAGGGAAAAAAGAGACAGGGCAGAGGGAGGCATTAGGAATGCTTCCTCCCATTTCTCCACCCCACTCACCCACCCCACTCACCTCTCCACTCACCCCCATCCTACTCACCCCCCACCCCACTCACCCCCTCACCCCACTCATCCCCCCACTCCACTCATTCAGGACAAGTCCAGTTGGGGCCAGAAGGAAGCAGCCAGTCCTCCAAGGGGCCCCGTGGGCGTGGAGGTGGGCGGCGTCCCAGGTCCCCACGTGTCCTGGTGAGGCTGGCGACCCGGGCGTCGCTTCGGGGGAGTCACGGTCTCTGGGTGCTGGAAACCCTCCAGGCCTCCAGGGTTCCGTCTTCACCCCTGGTGATCCCGCGGGACGTACCTCAGGGTGGCCTGGGCGGAGCCGGGTAGCCGTCCGGGCCCCGCGGGGAAGCCGGACACGAAGGGGTTAACGCACCTGGCCGCCGCCCTGCGGCCCCTCCTCCCGCTGCCGGGTATAGGAAAGCCTCGGCGGGGGCGCGGCCCGGCCTTCATCCGCCGAACCCTCCGCGGCGTCCGGAGCTGCGACCCTCGCGCCCTGCTCTGCCGACCTGGCCCGGGCAGCCATGTCTCTGTGGTGAGTCGGGGTTCCCGTGGAAGTCGGGCTGGGGCTCCCTGGGGGCGCGGGGCATCCCCCGGGCTTCACCTCCTCCCGGGGCGGTAGGGGGCATGGACGATGCGCGCCAGGTGTCCCGGGCCCGCCTCAGTTTCCCGAGGCAACTCGGGTGGCGGGAGATGCGGCGCGGGAGCGGCAGGTGACCGGCGGAGACTTGGGGCACACGCAAGGTCTCGCCGGCCGCAGAGCCCCACGGAGAGACCCCAGGCTACCCCTCCACGTCCCCTTCCCCTCGCATGGCCTCTCGCTGGCTGAGTTCCGCCTCCGGCCCGCCGGCCCCACCTCGACCTCTGCCCTCGCAGGCTCTCCTCTTGCAAATGGAGTGGGCTAGTGCGGGCGAGCCAGGGGCCTCGCGGAGGCGGCTCAGAGCTGGCCTTTTCCTACCCGGACTCCAGAGCTAGGGCGCGGAGTTTCCCTCGAACCCCCAGGGCTGCAGAACTGGATCCGGAGTACTCTGCTCCCCTCTCAGGGAGGGTCCGACCTGGGGTCTTACCACCAAGTGATTCCGTTTTCCTCCAGCCTGGTGCCTAGGAAATCTTGGGGCCCCATGGAAATATCTCGGTGTATGGGGGCTTAACCTTCCTTTCACCCTGTGGTGCCTGGGCTTCGCCTGCATCCCACCAGGCTTGAGCCCTCAAGGATACCTCTAACGGCTTCCTGGCTCCAGTACCTACCTCCTACCTTGGAGGTGAGCGCCATCTCCCCGCTGTCCTGCCCTTCGGGGCAGCCACCCTGCAGACTTGCTCTTTCTGCAATGTGAACTGAGAAAGGAAGTTCCTGGGGGACGGAGCCCAGGTCCCAGGCTCTAGGATCACTTCTGACAAGAGCTCAGATTTCTGCTTCTGAAAAGGGTGTGATGGGGTTGCCTGGGCTGGCAGGGTCCCTGGAGAGAGGGGGGCCACCATGTGAATGTGTTCCCCTCCCAGGACAGAAGGACTGGGCGCCTCATTGCTCCTTGTAGGATGTTAAGGTAGGGGTAAGGGATCATGCTGGTGGCTGCCCACTCCACTGCCAAGGCCTCTCACCAACTTAAGGGCTGTCCTTTTCTGCTGAGTCAGCTGTGTTTAGAGAATACTAAACTGGAACTCACTGCGCTCCACAACAGGACTCTCCACAAGCTGCAGAAAGGGTACTGTCTCCGCCCCTCCCACTGCCCCTGGTTCAGAGTCACCTAGTGATTCTGCTGCCCACTGCTCCTGGGTCTTACCTAGAAATGGAAACCAGTGGGCAGGGGGACAGGTGGAGGGTCTCCCTCAGCATCTTCCCAGTAAGATGGCAGCATTTCCCTCACTGCATGCCTGGCACTTTATACAGTACTCTCATCTTATGTTCTGTCCCTTTGGGGAAGAAGTAGCTTAGAGAAAAGTTAAATGACCCCTCCCCAAATCATTTGTCGTGGAAGTGGACCCCCAATACTGATCCATCCGTGCTCTTTGAATTGGGAGGTTTCATGGGACAGGAAGCAGAACCCTCTGACCTTCTGCAGAGTGGGGTCCACTGGCCCGTCTGGGTCCACCTAATCCCTCAGGAGGGGTGCCAGAGTGTCAGCTCACCCTTTCCCTGTTTGCTGCTCTCCCTAGGAAGAGAACTCTCTACAAGAGTGCATGTCTGGCCCTGGCCCTTCTTGTGGCTGTGACCATATTCCAGCGCAGTCTAACCCCTGATCAGTTTCTGCAGGAGCCTCTACCACCCACGGTGGAGTCACCCCAGACTGGAAATCTGGTGAAGGCCAACAGCTTCTGGAAGAGCCCAGAGGATGTAGTGGCTCCCACCCCCATGGCCTCTGAGGCACCCCAAGCCTGGGATGTGCTGACCACTAACTGCTCGATCAACATCAACCTGACCCATCAGTCCTGGTTCCAGAACCTAGAGCCACATTTCCGGCAATTTCTGGCCTATCGCCATTGTCGTTACTTCCCCATGTTGCTGAATCACCCTGAGAAGTGTGAAGGTGATGTCTACATGCTGGTGGTGATCAAGTCGGTTATTACACAGCATGACCGCCGTGAGGCCATCCGCCAGACCTGGGGCCAGGAGCGGGAGTCAGCAGGCAGGGGTAGGGGTGCCGTCCGTACCCTCTTCCTGCTGGGCACAGCCTCCAAGCAGGAGGAGAGGACCCACTATCAACAGCTGCTGGCCTATGAGGACCGTCTCTATGGTGACATCCTGCAGTGGGATTTCCTTGACAGCTTCTTCAACCTAACCCTCAAGGAGATCCACTTCCTCAAGTGGCTTGGCATTTACTGTCCCAGCGTTCCCTTTGTCTTCAAAGGGGATGATGATGTCTTCGTCAACCCCACCAACCTGCTCGAGTTTCTGTCTGACCGGCAGCCAGAGGAAAGTGTATTTGTAGGTGATGTCTTGAAGCATGCTCGGCCCATTCGCAAGAAGGATAATAAGTACTACATCCCTCCCGTCATGTATAACAAGCCCACCTACCCGCCCTACGCTGGTGGTGGGGGTTTCCTCATGGCCGGCAGCTTGGCTCGAAGACTGCACCATGCCTGTGACACGCTGGAACTCTTCCCCATTGACGATGTTTTCCTGGGCATGTGCTTAGAGGTGCTGGGGGTACAGCCCACAGGCCATGAGGGCTTCAAGACCTTCGGCATCTCTCGGAACCGCAGTAGCCGTTTGAACAAGGAGCCCTGCTTCTATCGTGACATGCTTGTGGTGCACAAGCTGATGCCCAAGGAGCTGGTGGCCATGTGGGAGCTGGTGCATGGCAATCTCACCTGTTCCCGCAAGCTCCAGGTGCTCTGACCACCTGGGCACGTGCCCTCGAGTCCCCAGCTGTAAAGCATGGGCATAGCCTTTGATCCCTGTGGGAGGTGAAGGGTTTGGGCCTTCTGTGCCCCTGGGTGTGGTGGGGTACAAGGAGCCAGAAAGGAACTCCCAGAAATTCTCAGAAAGTGAGGCCAAGGAACAACTGGAGGTCATCTGAGGAACCAAGTCCCTCCTAGCTTGGGCCTATAGCCTGGTACCTCTAAGCTGGTAGGAGGCCCTGGTGGCCTCTGAAGGAACATTTGCTCAGGTACCTGGGCTAGGCCTGACCTCAGTGGGTTTGTGGCTGCCTCTTGTCATTACAGAAATCTCTCCCTGTGAAATGTTCTGTCTCCCTGAGGGCCAGGTAGCCCTTATGGGAGCTCAGCCCTGTGCAGGTTCACAGGTGTCCCAGGGTCCATACTCCAGGGTCTCCTGGGAGCACAGCCCCCCGCCCCAGGCTCTCAGCAGCCTGGGGTCATTCTCTGCTCCAGGGCTGTGGCTCCTGGCTCCTGTCTTTTGTCCAGAAGCATAACCAGCCACTCTGACTACCTCAGTGTTCTTCCAAACCTCAGTGTGGGCTTCAGCCCCACCCTACCCCCTGACACAGGGCAGAAAAGCAATGCTCCTGGCCCCCCAAATTCTGATGCTGTCTGACCACAGCCCAAGCCAGGTTCCCTTGCTCATCTCACTGAAGCTGACTCCCTGGCCAGAAACTGGCCTCTTTGGCCCTGGAAGTGAACATTCCTCTGTAACTGTGAAATTTTATTTATGAAGAGTTGGAAGAAGGTTCCAGGCCTTGGGAGGTGGTAGACCCTCTTTTACCTGTACTCTCCTTCATTACCATGTCCGTGTCGTCGTCATCGTGTCCCCGTCCTTCACTTCCACTCCTAAATCCCTACCCCCCTTCTCCAGGGCCTGCACAGACCATTTCCCCTGTGAGGGAGCGGGTACACAGTGATGCCATCTCTTACCTCAGACTGGGGTCACCTGAGAAAGATGAGGCATCCTCTTTATTTTCTAAATAAAACAGGACTGGTTGCTGGAGATGTTTGAAGGTGTTTGAGATAGCTGGTTCCTTGGTCCTCACTGGTGGATGCAAAAGAACTCCTCAGGAGGCCTTAGAGGGAAGTGAGGTGTTGGTGGTATAGCAAAAGGCCTACAAACTATAGCACCCAGCTACTTCAAGTGTCCCCATGAACAGCTGAGGCCTTGACCTAGGTGGGCCAAGGGTAAGGCCAGAGTCAACCCCAAGGCTACTGTTTCACTGGCTGACCTTAGGTGGAGTGCACAGAGGTCGGTGGGGGTCCTAGGCTGGCTGGAGGAGTTGGCTGTGTTAGGGACATTCGCCTGAGCTGCTTCATCCAGGGGAGGAAAGGAAGCTGTCACCAGGGCAGGATATCTTCAGACAGTGTACTAAGCAAGGCCAGTGGCCTGTGCCTATGTCCAGCTGTCCAGGTCAAGCTCCCAGGAAGGAGAAGGGGACTGGGCTGCCACCATTTTGCCTTCCCAGCACAGGCCTTCCCACACCATCTTTTGTCCACTGCTTACATTATATGCAGAGCTCAGTGCAAAATACATGGTCTTATTCCCCAAAGTTATTAAGAACCTTAAGATTGAAACTGTGATATTTTGAGGATCCAGGCCCTGCTATAGGCTATAGAAGGCAGAGGGGGTTGGCACCTTTGTTCCCAGAACTCACAGTCCTGCCAGGAAGAGTAGCAGAGGGAGAGGGAACACTGCACCAGGGCCAGGCGGAAGCCCAGGGGCCCTGTGTGTTGCCACATCTAAGGACCAGGCAAAGCCCTGGCTTAATCTAAGCCAGGGAGGGAGGCAGCTGGCCAGAACCTCAGGCCTTGTGTGTTCAAAAAGGTGCTTGGAGTTGATCCTAAGATCAGAGGGCCAAGGAGCAAGAGCTCTGGGCTTGGGGCGATCTGAGGAAAGAGGCCAGTAGTTCTAAGCCCTCTGTACCCCTTCCCTTGGCTCACTCTGTCTCTAGCTGGGCCCTGTGGACTGGGAGCAGTAAGTGGAAGCATGCACTGTGGGTCTTGATGGGTTATCTCTCACTCTGGCCTTTCCAATGCTTGCAAGCCTCAGCCAGGCTTTCCTAGTTATTCTATCCCTAACCTGGGGCCAGCAGAGAGGGTTGGGAAGTGGGAAGCCACATGAGCACACTAGAAGGAAGGCTGAAGAAACCCCTAAAGGCACAGTTCACATTCCCCACCAAGGGGCAGGGCTTAGGCACCAGCCCTGGCCCTGCAGTACACCTGGTTCTCAAAGGACAGGAGGACATTTGCCTGAGGTAAACTGGGACTTGGGGAGGAGCTACTGTGGGGGTGGGTGAGGTAAGAGGGAGCTGCCCTGCTGAGTTTGTTAATCCCAGTCCTTGGGTCCAGTAATGGTAGAAAGGACCTCAGACCCAGGGATACACAGGCAAGACTTCTTTTTATGGCTAGAACAGGATGGGAAATGTGGCTTTAACCAAGAGCAGGTCAGGCCAGGGGCTCCTGGAACAAAGGAAAAGGGCTACTTGTATAGGAAAAACTCCATCTGTTCTCATTCAGGTTATCTGATGCAGATAAGGGATTCTGGTCCAGGACTGGTAGTGTCTAGTCCAGTCTTCTATGCAGGAGTAACATACCAGTCCTGACTGCTCTGGGGCTGAACTGAGTCGTAGGCAACTTGCTGATTAGCTTTGACACTCAAGGCTAGGCCCATTCTCTGGAGCCTGTACTCAGGTTGTGTGGGAGCCCTGTATCCTGTGAATCTGCCAAGAAAGGATGAAACAGGCAGGATCCTCCCTAACATCTGACCAGTCTTCCCCTCTCTAGGGTGGCCCCAGCGGTCTTAAGTTGGGGTGCTTTTTTGCAGGCACTGAGCTCAGAACAAATCAGGCAAGATGTATAGGTCAGGATGGGGATTTAGTCTCAAAACCTCCCTTATTCCCCAGCTCCTTAGCAGTTCCTAGAAGTGCCAGGTGGCCACTTAGAGCTGGTCAGAGGACGCCCAGCACAGATGCTACTGCAGCCCCCACCCCCCCTCACTTTACTGTGCCACCCTTGGACCCAAGTCCCCCAGCCTTCTCCATCCAGACTTGCTTGAAGATGGCGCTGACATTTCTCAGCTTCATTGCTGATTATTTTAGGAAACAGGTCTAAAGATAAAGGTTGTTCTGGAAGATTCAGGCATTTACATTAAAGTCCTGCTTCCTGATTGACCGATGGGTCCCTTCACCGAGGTTGCATCAGACATTCATGACAAAAGAAAGCTTAGCCAGAAAACACAAGCAGATTTATTTAAAGGCTTTTCTTCCTGGAAACAAGTCTTAGGCAGCCCCAGGCAGCCTTAACCTCACTATGTACCCAGGAATAATCTTGAACTGTTTGCTCCACCCGCCTCCACCTCCCTGCCACTGAGATTACAAGCATGTGCCACAACAGCAAGTTTATGGAATTCTAAGAATTCAACCTAAGTCTTAGTTTCTTTTTTTCTTCTTTTTTTTTTTTTGGTGTGAGAGTCTCACCATGTAGCACTATGCTATGTAGACCAGGCTGGCCTTGAACTCAAAGATCTGCCTGCCTCTGCCTCCAGAGTACAGGGATCAAAGGTTTGTGACACCCCACCTAGCTACTTAAGTTTTTGAATAATCAAACAGTTTATGAAGGGGAGGGGGGATGGAGAGATTGCTCAGTGGTTAGGAGCACTAGCTACCCTAGCAGAGGACCCGGGTTTGATTTCCAGTACCCACAAGGCAACTAACAACCATTAAGTAACTAGTTCCAAGGGAATCCATCGCGTTCCTCTGACCGCAGATGTTGCAATGTGTGGGTGCACTTACATGCTGAAAGTAGACTCAAAGGGGAGACCCAGCACAGCCTGCCGGCTCAGATTCTTAGAGAGCTGAGTGGCATTCCTGCCCCCAGGCATAGGGCAAGACCATTTGTAATGAGCCTTCAAGAGGGAAGGGGACTCAGTGATCTGTCTGGTTTCATGATTTTCTTTCGTGGAGGAAGCTGCACCTTCCATGTCCTTTAATTCAAAGAACTCAGCATGCCAAACAGCCAGGATCTGGGTATCACTTTCTAGGTCGACGTTAGAAGTAATGATAACGGTTGTGGAGCCCAGTCAGGAAGCCTGGCACTGTAGCAAACGTTTAGCATGTATAACCTATACAACTTTAGCTTTAGTAAAATAGGTTTACACTTAAATTTTTGAGTTCATTATTCCACCCCTTCATACACCCTTATATATATATATTTTTAAAAAGGCACCCTCTTGGATCCCCCAAATTTCCAAGAACCTCAGGGACTTCCTTAGTCTGGAGAGTTCTTTGTAAAGTCTAAGCAGGCACCTCTAGCTGTTCTGCTGGCTCCACACTGGTGCTCTGCGGAGTGAACCAGCCCAGGAGCCCATATCTCTGAAGTACCAATCTCTCTTTCACCCTCACCAAGACAACCATCCTTCCCCAGGGCAGCAGGATGCTGGGGATGCTGGGTCCTGGGGCTTTCAGTCAGCTGCACAGCCTGCTGAAGGAACCCCATAAATTCTCTGAGGCATAGGAGCAACTTCCAAGCCTTTTAGTTCCCAGCCAGATTTGGAATAGCAGGTGTGTGTGTGATGTGGAAGGGAGTTTTTAAGTTTTTTTCACCCTAGGCTTCCTCTGCAAAGGTTCTAGCGAGCCACCAGCTCTGCATTCCAAGAGGACTTGGAGGAGCCAGCCTTTGTCAAGCCCCAAAAGAGCCATTTCACCCTTCCCCAGAGCTAGGGCGTAGCCTTGGCCACATTTGCATAACTGAAGGAGACCACTCAGGGAATCCTGCCCTTAACAAAGGAAGCCTGTTCCTGGGTGACATACTGGGCCTCTAAACTGAGGAACAAGGGGAAACTTCTGGAATCCCGTTCAACACCATAGTCAAAGGAAGAAATTAAGACCGCGAAGTAGGATCCCACGGCTATTGTGTGACAGGGCATCTCCCTAGAGCATCCACCCCCTCCTTGTTCCTCACAGTGATACTCAGTGGTAAATGTGTTTGCTTGTCTGAAAGCCCACTGAGGAAAAAAACAAAATGTTATGTATGGTGAGTGATTAGAAATTTGACCTCTGGAGAATTCCAATAGTATTAGTACTGTGTGAAAAAAAATCCAGATAATTATTTAAATATTCTTTTGCAAAGGTTTTCTGTCCCGACTTGGCCCTGGCACTGTCAGATCTGTCTGCTTCCAGCCACGTTCCTTATCTTTGAGTTTCTCCCACCATTTCCTTTCTTCTGGAAAAATTATATGTACTTGGGGAGGGCACACAGGTACTATTGTGTATGTGTGGAGGTCAGAGAACAACCTGCCCAAATCCATTGTCTCCTAGCACCATGTGGGCCTGGGGCATCGAACTCAGGTTGGTCAGGCTTGGTAGCAAACGCCTGAGCCATCCCCGCAGCGCACCCCCTCACCCCTCAACCCCTCTCCTTTTTATTGTAAGCAGCGGATACGAAAGACTCTGCAAACAGCCCAGTCTAGGCGATTGACTTTTCTCCCTCCTGTGGAAAAACCAGTTTTCCTCCGTTTGCAATTCAATTCCTTAGCTCTATAAAAATGTGTGCCAGTCTCAGCATCCACCCTGGCCCCCTGGTATGAGTAATTTAAGTCCCTTAACACATGCTTGTTTTTGTGTCTGTATGAAAGACATGAATTTACCTTTCACTGATAATTGAACTGTTGTTTTCATATTAAAACAAACTCAGGCACATTATTGAGAATGCAGTTTTTGCATATATTTCTCATATTGAAACGGGGTAAAATTTACATTTACTATAGGCCCTAAAGGTAAGGCATAGATTTGGTCCCTTTGGTGTGGTCTGAGTGCTCCGGGAGCTTTGAGAAAATACTCGCCTAGGCCACAGCCCAGGCGTATTAAAGAGGATCCAAAGGGCTGGGAGTAGGCGCCACTCCAGCCTAGGAGCCTGGAGTCTGGAGGCAGCAGCTCCTCACCCAGCTCTTTGCATTACCCTCGCAGTGCCCAGTCCTACTGGAAGGCCCAGAATTGCATCCTGAGCTGGGCTGGGCCCTGGGGCTGAGTCATCTGCAGAAAGGAGCCCGGGGCGGGCTAGAAACAGTGGGGTCCGGGCGCCCGAGAGCATCCTGGGAGGTAACACCCGCTGGGTCCAGGGACTTGGGGAGGAGGAGGGT